ATTATATGTGGGGGGGGCAGGATTTAAAAGATGCTTAGGTGGGGCATGGCCAAAAAAAGGTTGGGAACCACTGGTTTAGTGCCTAATTCTGGATTTCCAGGAACAGAGCCCCTCAACATAGATTAGTTTCCTTGCACACTGATTTTTTTTCCTCAATGCCTTGGAAATCTGAACCTAAGAAATAAGAAAGGATCTCAAATTTATTTCTGTACATACTATAATTTTAGTTACCAGTTTTCTTGAAGCTATTTTGGCACTGGCTGGTGGGAACTACAACTTTTAGGACTTTCGGGCCTTGCAGCCAGTGGATTTGGTGGTTAAGCAAAACAAGAAAAGCATGTGGAAAAGGCCCACTGACTGGCCCTTTCATCCATGGATATTTATGACCTCTTGGAGATTTGAACCCAAACCTTTCCAGTCATTTCTAAACCTTAAAACAATACACTGCTCTAGAATTAACATTGAAATAAAAACACCCCCAAACGATAGTAAATAGAAGATTCAAACATATGTTAACAAACAAAAAGGCAATCTAGCTTTTAATTTCTTAAAAGCAAACAGAACTAAGAGCGTTGAATTTTACTGGGTAGATTAAAGCCGTTTGGTCCATGCATTACAAATGAAGCACATTTCCATATTTGATCCAGCACATTTCTATATGTATGCCACAGGGAGATGTATTTTTTTTTCCTTCAGAAATATATAGGGAAAAATTGCTCATTAAAATACACAGCACTCGTCAAGTTGCTAGGAAAAAGAAACAAAGAGGGAGAGATGTTTTGTTCTTGTTATGGAAGAAGAACAGAAGAATGGTAATACACCCCCCCCCCATACCAAAAAAGGTTTGATTACTGGCTAGAGACCAATTTTCAGCTATAGACTAACTAATATGGCCATTTGTTTTATTGCTAAATATTCAAAGTTAACAACATGTAATTAAAGAGTTATTACATTAGAACAAAAGGGGGGAAATTCTCAGTTTTCAGTACATATCCCCCAGTGTTGGTAAAAAAAACAAGCAGGAGGATTAATTTCTCTACCCCCACCCCCCAAAAAAGGTTAGCAAAACTGTCTAAGCTTTTCTTATAACAAAGTTCTCATATCAAAGCGCAAATAAATACTAAAGCCTAGAATGGCTGAAGCAAATCTAGTGCTTTCATAGATAATGCAATTACAGCTGGCAGCTGATAAGAGTTGCTTAGCTGACAAACACAGCTAGAGTTACAGAATGGACAGGCCAATGGAAAAAGTAGCCAGCATTTTTCTTGGATGCTGAAAATGTCCTATTTTGCAAAATAATGGGGGAGGGATCATTGCATCTTTAAGGGAAGGTTGAATAGAAGAAGAGAGATACTTCACGCCATCATTACATAAACTAGCATTAAGACTGTGAGGCTTATGCCAAAAAATGCCTAACTATATCCTATGAGGCATGAGGAAATGAGGCAAGAAAATACAGAGATGATAAATATGGACTGAACAATTCAGCTGTAGGTAAATAATCGTGTTTTGGGATTCTCCTTTATATTAAAACAAAACATTTATAAAAAATATAGAAAACAGACAAATAAAAGTAGCCTAGAACTTTTATCTTACATGCAATCTTTTTTGAAAGTATCCTTTTATATAATTTGTATACCATTCAAAAAGACCAATTCTATATCAGGCCTTTACTATTTCAGGATCTCAGGATATCTCAGCCTATTGATGAATTTATATATTCACACTTCTATTTATTCTGGTCAATTGGTTTAGGGATCTCCATAGTCTGTTTTCAATCTGTAATTTAGGAACAAAATCCTGGTGTCCCCCAAACATTTGGATAACAATTCACATAATCCCTTACCTTGTCCTTACTACTGGAGCTGATGGCATTTCAAGTTTAAAATATCTGGAGATTTGCCAGTCCTTAGTCTAACTATAGATAGTCCTTGCTTAACAACAATAATTGAGACCACAATTACCATTGCTAAGCAATGTAGTCATAAAGCACAACATCATGTGACCATGCAACCGTAGTTCTAGCAATCCCCAGGTACAATCATTAAGCAAGATCTATGTGGGTTGTTAAGCAAGGATCTCATATGATCATAACTTCCGACTTCTTGCTGGCATCCCCATCAACTTTGTGAGAAACTGGCAGGGAAGGTCACAAATTGCAGTCATGTGACCATGGGACATTGCAATGATTAGAAATCTGGGTCTGTTGCTGAGCACTTGAATTGTTATCACATGGTCATGGAGGTGCTGCATAGATAAATACCACTTGTTCAGCGCTGTTGCAAGTTGGAATGGACATTGAATAGGTGGTTGTTAAATAAGGGCCATCTCTAGGTGCTTCTGAGAAAAAGTATAACAAAAGATTTTTAGGCACAACCCACCATTCTTTGTATCTGATGTATCTTTAGTAGTTGCCAGGTAGTTGTTTTCTAGAATATGATCAGGTCATGAGCATGACGGAAAAATACAGCTGCTGTATTTTAAATTGGAGATCATTTTTTTAAAAGTAATAACTAGAAAAGCAAAGCAGAAAAAAAAGATTCAGGCAATAAGAAAAAGTAAGAATTGCATTACATTAGATTATTTGAACTCTGACAGAACTGATATGAATTGTGAATGTCAGACATTCTGATTTAGGGATATAATTGATACAATACTAGATAACTATGTACTTTCTGAATCAGTGGCAGGCACAGGGCAAAGTGTTAAGACTATCCCCATCAACTGAAGAGCAATCATTTCAGTCACTCTCTTAGCTTCCATCTTTGATTTTAATACAGTTTGAGAACATTAAAGGAGATGAAGGTTAGGGTTTGGATTCGATGACTGTGGAAGGCTACAAAAAGTCTTGAACACTGAATCCATTTTCTTCCTTCTTTTAGTTATCCCCTCTCCACAGAGAGAGACTGCCTAAAGAAGGCCCATCTTCGCCTAGTTTCCATTCTATGCTTTAATTTGTCTTTGGCAGCCAGAGAGGAGGTTATTTTTGCATGACATATGCCAGTTGGGTTAAGGTAAGTAACCCACAAATGAAGGAATGTATTTTGGGATCAATTAGGGGCTAATTCTCACCTCGGAATTACCGTGTCTGAATTCATATGGCACATTGAGTGTTCAAATAATCCAATTAAACATGTCGTGTGAACAGAGCCAATACATCAGACAGAAAAATCAGGCACTTGCTAATATAAAAAGAAATGAAATTATCATTTTGACAGGATTGGTCCTTTTGAATCCAGTTCTTTGAATCACAGTCTGTAGGGAAAAATCCAGGGGTAAAAAATGATTCAAATTAAAGATAAGAAACAAAAACCTGATGTAATAGAGATTCCATGAATCCAGCTTTCTCAATTGTTAGGGGGATTGTAACATATTCAAAATGTTGAAATGTTTCCAGTTTCCCTCATACTTTTGTTTGGCACACCCAATGCTGGAAGATAATAAGAAAACAGATTAAACATTAAAAGAAAGTGCTTCTCTCTTATTCCCTTGTCTGAAAAAGATAGCAAATAGCAGTCTATAGCCTCCACACTTCTATTCTCTCCACTGATAATCCTTTCTAGAGAGTAACAGGTCCACATTTGAGGAAAATGCATTTCCAGGGAGAGGGTGTACTTATGTTTGCAATCTGGCTGCTTTCCAAGTGTTTAAGCATTAAGAATCAGGCAATTTAAAAATTACCATACACTAATAATCATAGGCTCAATTTTGCTGCAAGCTCAGTTCATGCCAACTGAGAAAAGGAATGCAGGAAACTACCTTATTTAATTAGACCATTAGTTCATCTAATGCCATAATGTCTACATGCCAATCTAAAGTCCATCAGACATATTTTCTATGTAAACTAGTTGAAAAAAAATGGCATCCCAGCACTGAGAACCACAGAACAATTTTGAGGCATGAAAAAATAAAGAAAGCATTGTTTCCTATCATAGGAGATCAGAGTGATCTCACTCTCAGTCTTTGCATAAACCCAGGTGAGAACATGTGCTTTTAAAAATTCTTACTTCAGATCTTATCAGCTTTTTTTAATTGCAAAAATCTCATAGGCTTGGGTAATGTTAAAATGTCACACTTCTGTATTTTTTTTTAAGCATATGGTTTAATCTAACTTTGGTGGCAATGGATGCCCTGGTGATTACTGAGCAGCAAAATGTTTCCAAAATATGATAGGAGTCTTACCAATCTTGCATGGAGATATTTTCCATGCAAGCATTCTATTACATAAAACTGTGGATATGCCATTTCTTCATTAGCTGAGTGGTTTACATTACTCCAATTATTAAACACTTTATAAATTGCTTTCCTCTGAAAATGGTTTTCCCTACCAAACTATTCACTAAGTCTCAAAAACATCTCTTAGAGAAAAAGCTATTATGGGGGTGGGAATGGAAGTATACAGAAATCTTCTACTTCTTGATGCTGGAAACACCGGACAACAAATATTTTTCTTCCTGAGCACTTTGGAGTGTATCTTATAGAAGTTTGACTACTAATCATGAAAATAATCTGTAATTTAACCTATCACATGCTGTGCTTTATATAAATCATCTGTTTTTGCAATGTACACTCTTCAGTCTCTATTGGCTATGGAAGAAACCGATAAAAACATGACACTGTTTTTGAAGCACATCCAGTATACCAAGTACAATTGGAACATATGTGGAGAACTAAAAGTAATGGCTCTGCTACTTGGAAAGTACTGTATAAACCAAGTACTTTTGTTACATATGTGAATGGGACAGCCTTGCAAGAGTTGCATTACATTAAAAAAATGGCTTCTCCAAAAGAATTTGATTCCAGGACAGAAACATATGACATGTGAACTATTGGTTGACCCAAGGAAGATATTTTTCCTCCACATCATATCAAATACAGACTGAAGANTGCCTTCGCGTCTGGCTCCCTTGTGGAGCTGAGAATAGGATATTGATTTCTTTCAATGTCATCATCCCTCCCTATTTAGGTCAAAGCCAACCAACAGCCAAACCGATACTCACTGCAAAGTTTTGCAGCGATGGAGATGGCCCTGAAGCTGCTTCAGTCCTCCAGTGCCCATATTGCTGTAACTTAAGTTGAGATTCTGGAGAACCTGAGACTTTGAACAACTCAGGGCGTACGCCAGGGCCGCGCAATCCGCTGGGTTCAGTGTCACCTTGGACAGGTCTACCTCGCCCATCTGGGAAATGACCTCCCAAGTCACGTCATCCTGGTGCAACTCCGCTAAGCAGTGTAACAAGGGCAGCAACCTCTGACCTGATTCACACAAAGCCTTTTTCCTGAACCAGCCCGCCAAAAGCATGGCTGGGTCTCTTTCCCGACTGCTCCCAAGCAGCCCTTCCAACTTGCCTTCCAGTCTAGAGGTTAACAACCCCATGAAAAACCTGGAAAACATTTGCAGTTTGTCCCACTGTGGGGATCTGTTCAGAGATTGCCGGGTATAGTCGTAAAATCCACCAGCGGATCCCTCTGCTGGGGAGAGAAAGCCAGCGGCATCTCGATCTTCTGGAGTTTTTCCATTCCACCAGAGATCCAGGCAGTCAGTTAATTCCCCAGCATTGAAGTCCAAGTTAACCACTGAGTATAAAGCGGCCAAAAACTCCTGTACCGTCAAGTGGAAAAAACTGTAGATTTCACTGCTCTCCTTGAAGAAGATCTGACTGAGATAAACAGGTGGCAGGTCCCGTGGATCAAAACCCAACTCCTGCAGTTCATCTGCATAGAACATGGTCTGTCCCTTTAGCAGGCCAATGTAGGCCAGGTGACCAAGCTGCAGTAGCAAATCTTTCTCCCTCCTCAGATCCTGTGGCATTGCTTCTCCTTGTCCAGAAGGAGGCTGGTGTAACTTCAGGACGGTGCGCACATAAAGCAGATAGAGCTCCGTGACGGTGCTGGGTGGGGAGGCTCGATTGAACCCTTCTTCGGAGAAGTATCCGTCCAGAGCCGTACAGAGAATGAAGCAGTAGAGCGGAATGAAGGTGAGATTGGTTAAGCCATGCTGAGTTGAGAGGTAGCTCATGACTTCCGTGCCATGTCCGGAGGTCTGGAAGAATTGGGAGATGTAGTCCTTCACTTGTGCCTCTTGTAAACCGAGGATAAGAACATGGCGGTTAAAAAGTTCTGGCCGAAGAGAGACAGAAGACTTGGATGTGACCAGAATGGTGGCCTCTGGAAGTAAGGTCCCATTGAGGAGACCGCACACCAGATCTTTCACGTGGCCTGCCTCATCCGGCCACAGGCAGGGATGTTTGCTGCCCAGGGGGTGCCTGAACTCATCCAGTCCATCCAAAATCAGGAGGATCTCCTTCGGTCGCTCCAGCAAAGCGAAAAGAACTTTGCTCAGATGCGGGAACTTATGGCAAATCAACTCTTCCAAACTCTGGGTTCCGGTGACGAGGCTGAGCTCCTGGAGGGAAAAATCCAGGACGCAAAGAAAGCCTTGGAAGGCTCTGCCTAGCGCCCAATAATGGAGGATCTTCTGGACAATGACAGTCTTGCCGATACCGGCAGGGCCGCACAGCATCACCCGATGAGGCAGGGCGCTCTCCCGGGGAAAAGGAACGAAAAGTTGACACAGGTCCAGATGGGAAGATGCGTGGTAGGAACGAAGCCAGGTCTGATGAGAAGCCAGCTGCAAGTAATCATGGCTTGTGGGGCTGTAATAGGGCCTGTTGAGTAGCAGGAGGTCAGGGTAGTAGGCTTCAGGACAGTTGCATGGCTCGGTATCTTCCATAGTAGTGCGCAGATTCTCCGTCTGGTTCAGCAACAAGCGACGGTGG